ATTAGTAGACATGTATAATTATTCATATAATTGATAATATCAATTATATTACATAAACTAATATACATTATATAATACATCTAACTAATAATATCATTATCATAAGTTTATAACTAATTAACTTACATATAATATATAGTAATTTATATATATATTTATATATATATATATTTTTTTTGTTTTGCGGGTGGCGGGGCGGGGGATGGGGCGAGGGTATACTCCCCCGCCCCCTCGCCCCGTGAGCCCCTCGCGGGGGCACCCGCCCCCATTACCATCCCTAAGCTCAGTTGATTGAAATCCAAATACTTTCAATGAAGGAAATGGTGGGGTTTGTTTGGATCGTGGTTTATTTGTCAAAATATATTTACTTACATCATCATTACAATTTTCAACACACCTTTTTATTTTTTCAATTACTTTTTTATCTCAGATACATCACATCACAAAAAAGTACTAAAATATCTCTAATAATTCACAATCCAAACAAACCCGATTTTAGCAGGGAGGTCCCGCTTCCGCAGGCAGTAGAGACTACGTATACAGGTCAGTAATTAGAGAGCTTAATGAAGAAGCAGTAATAGCCTAACGGAGAAGCTACCGCTTGTTCTCGGTTGACACGTTTTTGTTTATATTGAAACATGATGAATTTTTTTTTTTTTTAACTTCTAGAATACAACAATTGATATATATATTTTTAAAGAGTATGGGCATGTGGTTGGGGTCACACGCGTAACGGTGTGCTTACGGTCTATAATAGGTACAATTGGCACTTGATGTGGTTGGCGTGGTTGTTTTAAGGTTAGGCTTCTTCTATTGCAATGGAGATAATTTCTCGCCATCATGTCCCAATAAAATTAATTTAAAAATTATTTTTGAAAATCAACATCATCTATAATATATTCGATTACTTGTATTAGTTATGCATACAATTTCCATATAAATTGATTAAGTTTTACCCTCCGATTAATCATTATAAATTTTGTTTTAATTTTGACTAATTTTTTATCATTTAAATGTTTCATGTAAATTGAATGTTAAAATATTCTCAAATGAAAATTATTTTTTATTATATTTATCTAGAGATTAAGAGAAAAATGACGATATGATCAGATGATTTTGTAAAATTATAAAATTTTAGATATAAATAAATAGAGAGAAATTCAATGGGAAGGATCCTATCCCATTATTTTGTAGTATCATTGGTGATTTGATGATATACTTGAAAACACCTTTATGTTCATACAATTTAGTCGGTCTATGCAAATGAAATTTACACGTATAACAAAGTATGTCAGCATACACCGTATCATGTAAAAATTACAACAGCAACTACAACACTCCGTCAAAATTGTCTAAAACCCCTCAATTTCTGAAATATTTGCTCTTTCTCTTTTCTTTCTCCACTTGCCAAATACTACTAGCTAATTTTGCATGAGGGTTAATTACAAAAACTTCCCTAAAGTTTAACCAGATTTGCATTTTACTCGTAGTGTTATTTTTTTTTTCTCACTTTACCTCCTAAATTGTTAGTCAATTCTAATATTATTGATTCTTGACTAAAATGGTAATAAATAATTAGCTATTATGGATCTAAATGTTTCTTGAATAAGTTGGTTCATATGGTCTACATAATAATTAGAGGGGAGAAAAAAAAACTTATGTATCAGCATTAACCCAAAAGTATTGAAAGCAAAAAAAGGAAAGTAGGAAATAAAGAAAGCTCCTCATGTCTCTCATTGCGCCACATGACAACTCTTGGAGTTGCTACAGCAAATAGCTACTCAATCTTATAATAGTAAGACATTGGGCGTAGGGCGACAATGATCGGAATTGAACTCAAATACTCAAACTCAAGCTTGAAGTACATTATTGGATCTAGAGCTCAAGTTGGGGTTCAACAATTCAAGCTTGACAAATTTTTAAATTTGAAGGTCGAGTTCAACTTGTGTAAAATATAAACCATACAAGATTGAGCTTGACCCATGTAAAATATAAAGAGTTTGAGCCAGCTCAAGGAATAAATTGAGATCGAGTTGCTCAAATTTAAATGGTAAGACTTGTAATTATCCTATGAATATAGGTTTTTTTAGTAATATAATAGTTATGTGAAATAAAAATAATATATATACATAAAGTTTGGAAAATTCAACAAGCAAAGAATATTTAAAGAATCAAAATTGACTCGACAATGTACTCGAGTAGCTTGATCTCCGATTTGACCAAAGTTGAGTGGAGTTTTTAACCAACTGCTCTCAAGCACGTCGATTCTTTGCCTCCTTCCCCCCCTCCCTGCCTCCCCAATCGTGCATAATGCTATTACATATTTTCTTGCATCTTTAAACAGCAAATGCCGCAAATGATCGTTCAGCAATTTGTCGAGTTTCAATTCGATCAAGCTTGAGCGAACTACCGGTGAGCAGCTTAATTAGCTGCCACCCCTAATTTAGGCATAATGCTATCAAATATTTTCTTGCACATTTTATCCGCAAATGAACGTTAAGTAATAAAGGAGCGCGAACATTTTCTTCCAGTAAAAGCGGGTCAAGTGAGCCCATAATTTTCAGGCCAACAAATGTTGGAGCCGTCAGGAGACAGCATTTATATGTAGGCCAAGTTAACTATTTGCCGCTATACGTGGCTGTCTTCACTAGCTTTCTGCAACGATAGTTTCTATTCCTATTGAGGAATAGGTTAAATTACAGGAATGTTACTGTTGTAAAAAAAAAAAAAACTATGTGAGGCCCGAAAGAGTCTCTGGAGGTTGGAACTTCAGCTCAGGTGTCGGGGCCATCTATTAGTGGATTTCTGATCAAAGACGATAGCAGGGTATAGCAAACTTCTCAATCTCATACATTTCAGCCAGCGGGAGGTGATTATTTTACTGTTTGGTCACCATTCAAGTTCAAAGAGTAAGAAACAGTAGAGACACAGACCATGATCCACCTAACAAAAATAGGATAAAATCCCATTTGTATCAGCATTCTCCCAAGAAAATTCCATTCAATTCTATTATATACCTTAAACATGTCCAGTTTAGTTTTGTCAGGAAACTAGTTTTTCCTTCCCTTCTATTTTTCAAAACATGAAGGATTTCCTGAGCAATCAAGACATTTTCTAGGATCCGTCTTTCTAGAATTAAAGCTGATAGAGAACAACTGATGCAATGGTTGAGAAATTTTTTCAACCTATTGGCCACAATTTTATAAATGATTTTGTACAGGACAGTGCAGAGACTAATAGGTCTATAGCAAGTTAAGTTCACTGGAGCCTCTGTTTTAGGTATCAAAGAGATAATTGGTCTCAAGAGGATTAGATGACACGAAAAGAGAGATATGAGAAAACGTAAAATCCACCATTGGTTTTCACCACGCGTATTGGTTAGGACTTGCGAGTTTAAAAATTTGTATCGCTGGCCGAAGGATAAATGGGCAGGATATTATCAGAATCCTCCCTTGAGGTTTCTTCTAATATCACTTGTCCCTCCTAAAATTTTAAAAAATCACTTACCCCACTAATAAATTCAAAAAAAATATATTAACTTTCACTTGATACATAATTCATATATCAAATTAATGGAGTTCAAAAATTAAAAACAAAAAAACAAAAGTCATTTTCTTTTCTTTTCCTTTTCTTCAACATTCTCTCTTATTCATCTTTTGGGTGATTATGTGATTTTTATTTGTAAATTATAATAAATTGAATTTTGTTTATCTTTTAGTTTTTATGATTGTGATAGAATGGGTATGGTTTATTTGCTTATTTTAGGTTGATTTTTATAATGATCAGTACAATTTAAAGATTTGGACACAGGTTGAGAAGAAGTTGAAAAAAAATAAAAAGTTCATAAGAAATCAATTTTAAATATATAGAGTTAAATTAGTCAAGCATATTTCTTTACAAATATCATTTTTATTTTTCAAATATATATTTTTATGGACTATAGCATTATAATATGGCAGTACTAGTAGAGATTGTTTTTCAGATAATGATTTTCTTAAAGTAAATAAAGTGATTTAGGAGTATTTTCATTTAACAAGTAATAGGATAGTTTAGGATTTTTAAAAATTTTATTACACAGATAACAAAAATAAGGGAGGTAAGTGGTTATTCTTAAACGTTTGTTGGAAAAAAAAGTGATTATTCTTAAAACTTATTAAGAGAACCCAGGGGAGGTTTCTTTTTTTTTTTTTTTTTTTTTGTGTCAAAACAGGGGAGGTTTCTGATAATGTCCTAAATGGACACAAGCCCATGTTTAATGTTTGTAGGGCCCAACGGGACTCCACCCAACAATCGGAAAAGATGCAACTGGCAACTTTACGAAAGCAGCCTAAATCAGTCTTCTCTCTTCCTCGTACAAGTAACAATCTCCAGCTTATTTTATTCCTGGCCACTTTCGACTAAGCCGAAGTAGGCGGATACCGGGCGTTTAGAACGGTGGCTGTACTTATCTCCCCTGGCTCGACAGTGGGCTGCAGCAGTTAGTTTCAAAATTCCTTTTTGTTTTTTGGAATCGTAATTGATTGTAGCTGCCTCACTTCCATATTAGGGCGCGTTTGGATTGCATTTTTCGTCATTTTTCATGAAAAAATTATTATAGCGTTTTTATATATGTGAGAAAAAAAAGTGATAGGAAAATATGATCACGGAAAACGACAATATTTTTTGACGAAAACAAGCAATCGAAACACACCCTTAGTCCTCTTTGCTTTTTTGTTTTCTGGTAGGATCTTTAGTTTAGCCATGTTATTTGCCTGCTAAGTTTGTGGTTTACGTTTTTTGGTAGCTTATATGCATATATATTCCTACCATGAATGTTTGATATCTGTTAGATTTTTGGAGCAATTTTGTTATGCAGCATCCTTTAATTAGAATGATTTTGGCCAAGACAGAATTTATATTAGATTTCTTTTGATTATAGGGCGAATTTCTGATAACCATGCTTAAGCTGAATTATATTTGTTTCATTTGTTGACTGATTTTATCTGCCGTCATGCTTGCAGTTTGTTCAAAGGTTATGTTTTTATTGCAGCGGTATATTTGTGTTTTTATGTGTTGTTATTTATGTTGGAAGAAGAGCATGCAAGGAGGACAACAAAAAAATCCTGCATTGTAGCAGATTTATGTGTTGTTTTTGGCTGTTGTTTTTGGATTCTGTGCTATCAGTCCTGGTCATTCTTAATGGGTATTTTGTTAGGCTCACTTTCCTTCTAAGGACTTGTATGGTTCTTTTGTTAACATAGGACTCCAAGTGGTCAATTAACGAGCATCAGCATAGTAATCTTGTTCTTAAAATGGTACTAAATGGAATTCTTTGTTATTCATTTTCTCATTCTTGATAACAGAGAGAAAAGTAGCAGAAAGTTTTGATCTTGATGGAATCAAGGGCAATACTTGCCACTGGTTTTGGACCGAGGAAGGTGAGACAGGATCACTCTTACTAACACAAAACAAAAGAAGTTTCTTTCTTGTAACTATTTGCTAAAGGAACATATGTTTGCTGCTGGATCCTTTTCTTCCTCTCTTCCTTCTTAATAGTGTGCAAAGATAGGGCAGCCCCTCAAGGATCAGATTAGTCGGCTTCCAGATGAAATTCTTGTTTATATTCTGTCTTGCCTAACGCTAAAAGAAGCTGCCAGAACAAGTGTTCTTTCAAAGCGTTGGATAGATCTATGGAGGTCCATGGCTTGCCTTGATTTTGATGCTTCAAAAGTGCTAAAGAAGATGTTCTCAATATCCAGCTGGGGAAGGTATGCGGACTTTGTTAGAAAGGAAAGGCGTAAGTATGTTGAATGGGTTGACAAGGTGCTGCTTCAATCAGACAAGTCCTTGGCATTAGATGATTTGAGAGTTGCTTTTTGTTTGGACAATTTTTATGGAGACAAGATTCATAAATGGCTTCAGCATGCATTTGCAAGGAGAGTGCAAAGGCTAGAATTGAACGTGTTTGCAGATGATGACCCGGCTTCTTCTCAAGAATCATATACTTTTCATTATGAACTTTTTTGCCTTAGCAGTGGTCAATCTCAACCTGGTTACTCTGAAATCCATCATCATGCACAGATTGGCTTCAAGTCCCTTAGAGCATTGAGTTTGAAAAGTCTGAATGTAACTGGGGAGGTACTGGAATTCTTCTTGATCAATTGTCCATTTCTTGAGCGCCTGGTAGTGGAGGCCTCTTCAGTTTTGATCAACCTTCGAGTTTGTGGTCCATCTATTGCCTTGAAATATCTGGAGGTATGCTGCTGTTTGATGTTGCAATCCATTATTGTCAGCGACACAAATTTAGTCTCCCTTAAAACTACCGACGCACACCATCTTGTACTTCAGAACGTCCCCATGCTTGTGAATGTATGGGTTTCTGGGAATTCCCGTAACTTGATCAGGGATGTTACTTCTTGGCTTTCTTGCTGCTTGTCAAAACTAGAGGTTCTTACTTTACGTGCCAACAAGTTTCAAGTTTCACAGGTTTTTTCTAGTTATTTAATGGAACTCTTTGAAGAGATTCCTTTCCAACTATTGTTTATAATCACTGCCAACTGCTTGCCTCACTGGTTTGATTTTGCTTTCTTCTTGTCTGATCATCCTAGGAAAAAGGAATTGTTCATGAGCTTCCTCAACTTACTAATCTGAAGGAGTTCGTCTTAATAGCTTCTGCATCAAAAGATCGCAGTTTGATTGGATTTACTTCTTTGATCAGGGCTTCGCCCAACTTGGAGAAGTTTGTGCTGAAGGTAGCATAATGCTGTACTAATCTCAGCCATTGCTTTCTTTTATTGTCTCGGTTTGTTTTCTTGAGCCTTGCTTTAGTTATTCTTGTCTTTCACCGTGGCATTTGCTGTATGCCATGCCATTGAGCATTATACTCTGGGACTTGAACATCCTTATGATCATGAACTTTTAAATGCAGTTTAGGATCCCAATCAATTCTTGAAAGCGAGAAAGCAATGATTATACTAATATTCTTGGTATCAGACATGCTGTTTCTGTTGCCGCTCCTATTCTTTTCTTTCTTTTTCTAATTTGTGTTGGGTACTCTTAGCAGATTTTCCCCCGTTCTTTTTGATCTGCAATATTTTAGTTATTGACAGCTTAATCTGTTTGCAGCTGGAATCGTGGTGGGGTGATATGGTCAGGGGAGATAGAAAGTTGAAGAAAGCTGCTAGCTTTCCGCTCCAACATCTGAAAGTGGTTGAGTTGCTTGGATACTATGGTCGCAGAAGTGAACTTGAACTTGTTGAATACTTCCTCGAAAACGCTATTGTCCTCGAGAAACTTATAATTGACCCTCGTGATCCTTGTAATGTCACTTGGCCCAAAACGCGCAAGGAAAGAAAGCAGGAAAAGAAGCAGGAAAAGTTAGCTAGAATTTGTGCCAAGCAACAGATCGAGGGATTAATACCTTCACATATTGAATTTTCGATTCTATAGTTGCAAACAGCAAATGCAGCTAAATTTAGGTTCATGTACAATTAGTTTTAGCGATTGCTTTTAAGTTATCTTATTTATATCTGTGTTCCTTAAAATGTTCAGTAGACTACATTATCTTTTTTTTTTTTTTTGTGAGTACGTTAATCAAGATTTAACCGCAACCTCGTGTGCATGAAGCTAAATTTTTGTGAGTACGTTAATCAAGATTTAAGTGTTTAGCTAGCGCTAATGACACTTGGGTTTGGTTACTCGTTAATTCCAAAAGGTCCATATTCGTTGTGCAGAGTGGAAATGGAGCACTGGTAGTAGGCTGGAAATGGAGTGTCTAGAATCAAGACCTCCCACTTCATTATTTAAAAAAAAAAAAAAAAAAAAAAAAGGTAGATGGAGAGGTTGTCGGGGACAGGAGTACTTGTATCATAAATAAATAATAATTACATAGCTGAATGAAGTGGAAAGTTCCTACTGACGGTTGGGCTGACACGTTTGCCTTCGTTCAATTGAATCACGACCAAAATGCGAGACGATTATTGGGTGATAGATGCATCATAATGTTTGTTAACGAGTGCAAATGATTGTTTAAAATATTTTGAGGTTGACCTGAGTAAAATATAAAGAGTTTGAGGTATGTGTCAACGCCAATTCTTCGTAGGAGCAAATAAGCAAAATTTTTGCAAGTAGTTTTGTGTAAGCAAAATTGTGGAACTTGCTTGAAGCCCCTTCCTGTCGGAGCATGTCCCAGTTTCCGGTCTGTCCTCAGGCCATACGACTTACAAGCACGCCTCCCAGATCAACTTGTCGCTCACTGCAAAGCGTTAGATTTAACCCCTTCTCTTGGAGTATCTTTTAGTGGATGGTTTCGTTCGTCTTACTACGGATTCCGTTATCCATATCTTGTCTGCTAACTTAGGCAGCCATTATTCCGTGCTTTGTATATATAATCAATGGTTAGTAAAATGGTAGTCTAATAAACTGATGAGAATAAGACAAACAAGGTACAGCTTTGTGTTCTCTTGACATAAATGGTACAAAAATTGAATCTTAAAAACTTTTTTTTTTGGGTTCTTATCATTAGGGGCTTGCTGTAATTCATGATGGCGGATTTGGCCACAGTAATAGCACAGTATCTTCTTTATTATTCTTGAAGTTGAGGTTAATTGTAACACTAAAACAAAAAAAAAAAAAAAAAGGATTGATTTACATCATAATCTATGTTATAAAATCTGAACCATGTCCATTGCTTGTGAAATGACCTTCAGCTTCATCTGTCAATCACCTCAGCCCAAGTAGTGAGAAAAATTAGTTCTGTGGACCTGGCTGCTGGAAATGTATGCCTAGAATTTTAATTCTGCATGGCACCATTTAATGAATTCAACTAATAGTTTGCCAACTGAATTGTGTGATCGATCACCTCAAATGCTTTCCAAGAATTCGGGAGACAGGAAATATGCAGTGGGCGGCGGGGAGGTGGGAATATTGTAACCTGTAAGGAAACCTATGGTTAACTCCTACAGCTGCAACTAACTAGTTAAGGGCAGTTGACTAGTTTCAGACGACAGATCATTCATTACCTACTGAGCATTTTCGGGAGTATATGTTTCTGCTTTCTCTTTTTATTTTTGGCAAAATAAGGGAAGGTTAGCTCATGTACATGGTTCAAAGTCGCGGTCGCGGTTCGAACCGTTCCACATTGATGTCGGCATATCGATCGCGATCTCGACGAGACACAAATTTTTGAAATATTTAATATTTTAAAAATTATAAAAATTATGATAAATAAAAATAATTAAAAATAATAAAAATTCGAGATGACTCGGAGTGATTCGGTGTAACTCAATCGTTTCAACCCTTCATGGTGACGTCTCGACGAGTCAAGTATCTCGGAATCGTATCGTCTCGGTACCATATCGGAGGGACCGAAACGGTGACGACTCGGCCGAGTCTTTGAACCATGCTCATGTAACACCACATATATTTAAAAAAAAAAAAAAAACTCACAGCAGTTGTGTCAGAGCTGTAGTCTGGGATCTTCCGATTATGATCTGCAAGTATCATTCCTATAAGTGGGCTCTTTCAATCAAAATGATCTGATTCTTGCTAAGTTTCTATTTTGCATATTTTTTGGGGAAAAATTAAAAAGAGAAAAAGATCCAAGCGTCCAATAGTTTTTGGTTTGTTACCAACAGATCAGAACTTGTAGACGTTTTCCATTTCAAGATGTTTAAATGTTTTGGCATGCAGGACAGACTTGCATAGAAGATTCGGGCTGTAGACGAGGGTAATAATAGGCATCCAGACGCCACGACAGCACGCCTTTGAATATGATCAGCAACGTCAAATTTTTTAAGCATAATTATTGGATTACATTAAATTAATGAACGTAAACCGGCCGGACATCTGACAAATGACCATTCTCTAGATTTTCATTTTTGTTTTCTTGTTTTCTCTTTTCTTATATGCTGCAGACCAGCCAAGATATACAACATTCATTTGGTCTAAAATTTTGGAACCTATTTCTATTTGGTCTAACACAACAAGACAATCTTGGGAAAAAAATGTTTTTTCTTTTTTTCCAGTTACTGAGTAGTCTTGAAAGGCCATTCAAACTCAAATTTGTGTGCATGGATGATAATTTTGTAGGAGGCAAGGGCAAAAACTCAGTCCAAGAGGATTATAGAAGCATCTAAACGGGATTAGTTGTTGTAATTCTTGATGCTCTTTTCTTTTTTTTTTTTCAGAAGAAAAGCTAGCCTACCACCAAACCAGGGCACTTTCTCATGAAGATTATCAGTTCTTGGCCTAATACATGGAATGCTGACCTTAATATTTGTGATGGGCAATTTCATCTGTGTGCAACCAACTCGGTCTCCACGGGATTCTGCAAAATCATTTGCTAATGTCAACTAATAAAGTCAAAAGAAGCACGTCACAGGCTGTTTGCTAACAAACTTCACATTAATGAACAGAAACGGAGGATCGATACACATTAAATCCAATCAGAAGAAACAAAAAGAACCCATTACTCCACCAAGTTTTCTTCATTTGCATAGATGCCTCCTTGATTCCTTTGTGGTTTGCTTGTCATTTTTTTTTTTTGAAGACCGAGTAGTTGTGCCCGTATGCCTCTATATAAATAAAGCATCAAAGCACAACTTCTCCAAACCCCTAATCGTTCTTTGCAGAAGCCATTTTCATTCTTGCATTGAGGCCGCTTCCAAAGAAGCTCTCAACAAAATGGTAAGCAATTGTTTGAGGCGTAGAATTTGCCTATTCGTTCATGCTAACAATTAAGTCATAAGAGCTATAATGCATTTAGCAATTCTTTTTCCCCCTTTGTGGTACATTCAATAAGGAAGAAATTTCCCAACTGATCAGCAACTTTTTTGGTTGTTAATATTCAGGCCATATGCATTGAAACTCAGCCTAAGCCACGAGCAAAGCTTGGAGGAACACGAGCTGCCTTATTTGTATATTGTATAACTTCAAGTTTCTACTACGAATACACTATTCAGTAATCGCTAGTGGTTATAGTCATTTCCTTTTTTACTTGTTCCTTTTTTTTAAAACTATATATGCTTGATTTCCCTTTTTTTTTTTTTCAAACTATAACTGATTGATCATCTGTGTGCAGCAATGGCCTCACTGGAGAATATGGCATTTATTTCTAATGCTGTGAGCTTATTCACTTACTTCCATGGATACATGAACTTCAGCTTGACAAAGTCGGCCACTACACTAACAAACCTCATGGGAACAGCCTTTTTACTGTCATTGTTCGGAGGGTTTATATCTGATACCTACTTGTCAAGATTCAAGACTTCCATTCTCTTTGGATGCATAGAAGCTGTGGTAAGTAAAAGTCTTCAAGTCTCATCCACACCAATTTTTTCCCTCAAATGCATATATCTGTTCTCTTTTGTGCTTGTACCATAAGCATATTTATATTTGTGGTCTGTAGCTTTTCTTCTTAATCTTTAGAAATTCCCCTTGTCTCTTGTTAAATTCATCAATTCCTAATCGCAGAAATATCATCTAACAAAGTGTAACTTGTAATTTGAACCATTTCAAGCACCTTCTCAACTAAATTCATTTAGGAATGGAGTACTAGTGAGTCGTCCAATGCCAACATCCTCGTACAGACATAACTTCTGGTTGCTGAATAGCTTTCCTTCTGTCATAAGACAAGGGTCAAGTTGTAATATATTAAGCAGAAATGAGAAGATATTAATCTGGTTGTTTCTCAATAAACAGCAAATAAATGAACCATGCATGTTATTTCCTAATCATGGTGTAACACCCAAACACTTCCACAGTCCACGCTCTCCCATCCTACAGACAATGAAAACTTCGATGAATGATATATGATACGTGCGCAGAGGAAGCATTCGTGCTGTAACAACAGACTAATAGTATAGTATGCTAAGAATCATCAATTGCCATTTCACTTGAAAGTATGCTGACAAAGACGTATCCTTTTTCGTCTTAATTTTTCCCGTAGAGTAAGATGATTCCAAAGCTGTTTTATGCTAGGAGTTGTTTTAGGTACTACAACTAACTATTTAGCAATATATTTCTTTACTTAAGGTACTTAAAAATGGGCTATGCATGGAATTCGAGTAGGCAAAATGTTTTATTTTTCTTGAAAGATGTTGGCTGAGCCTATTATTATGACTTTTTCAGGGACTTGCTGTCCTGACAGTGCAAGCACACTTTCCACAACTAAGACCAATTCTCTGCAAGGATGCAGCCACGCTGAAGTCGACTCAATGTGAGACAATAACCAGAAGCCCAGAAGCCCTCTTATTTGCAGGTCTCTATTTGTTCGCGTTTGGAAACAGCGGAGTAAAAGCAGCATTGCCATCCCTGGGAGCCGACCAATTTGATGAAAGGAGCCCCCTGGAGGCACCTAAACTTGCCAGCTTCTTCAACTGGTTGTTATTCTCCATCACTATTGGAGCTATGCTTGGGGTCACATTTTTAGTATGGATAAGTGCAAATCAGGGATGGGATTGGTCATTTGGTGTTTGTACCATTGCTGTAACAATGGGACTTCTGTTCTTGAGCATGGGAAGATCAATCTACCGAAATAATGTCCCCAAGGGAAGTCCATTTGTTCGTATTGCACAGGTATGCACCGTTTTAGCAACTGCTGCGTATAAACTACTACTGTAATAGTTTAATCAACGCTAAGCCAAGTATTTGGCGCTCTTGATTCAGGTTTTTGTTGCTGCCATTAGAAACAGAAATCTTCCGATCCCAGAAATGGCAGATGATTTACACCAGATACGTGACAAAGAAGCCAGGAAAGGAAATGAGATTGAGATTCTTGATAGAACTGATCAGTTCAAGTACGTTGACATCTTTCATCAGTTTTTTTTTAAGTGTTTCCTTGTGATGTAATTTCTAGTGAATAACCACATTAACCACGTCTTTCAGAATTTTGGATCGGGCTGCAATTGTTAGGAGTACAGAAGATTCAACCACAGTCATTGTTCCTGGACCCTGGAGACTCTGTACCGTCACACAAGTTGAAGAAACTAAGATTCTAATTCGCATGCTCCCAGTTATATTAAGCACTGTCTTTATGAATACATGTTTGGCTCAGCTTCAAACTTTCTCCATTCAGCAAGGCACAACAATGGATAGAAGCATCAGAGGCTTTCAAGTGCCCGCAGCCTCGATTCCATTTATTCCCCTGTTCTTTATGTTCGTCCTAATCCCAGTGTATGAGCACGTTTTCGTCCCTATAGCACGGAAGTTCACAGGAATACCAACCGGAATACGCCAACTGCAGCGAGTTGGCGTTGGGCTTGTACTTTCTGCAATATCCATGGCAGTCGCTGGAGTTATTGAAACCCGCAGGAAATCGGTTGCTGTTGAGCACAACATGGTTGACTCACTCGAACCTTTGCCTATAAGTGTGTTCTGGCTGGGCATCCAATATGCTATATTCGGCATGGCTGACATGTTCACATTGGTGGGACTGCTGGATTTCTTCTATGCAGAGAGCTCATCAGGCATGAAGTCATTGAGCACAGCCATCTCCTGGTGTTCCTTGGCATTTGGTTACTACACGAGTACGGTAGTAGTGAATGTGGTGAACAAGGTGAGTGGCGGGTGGCTGGCTAGTAACAATCTTAACAGAGATAACCTGAACTATTTCTATTGGTTGCTAGCAGGTTTAAGTGTAGCCAACTTCGGAGTTTATTTGATGTGTTCATCCTGGTACAAGTACAAAAAGATAGACATGAAGCAGGTAGACGCTGATTCTAAGGTAGATCCAGAGGAAAAAGTTTAAGCAAGCAGATGTAGGAACAGCACAATCTAGAGATGTAGCCTAGTAGTTGTTTTTTGTCATAATTGTAACAGTATAGTTCATACTGCTATGCATCCACTTGTCCAGTTTGCAAATAAATTTTGACATTGAGAACAAATTTTTTTGTTGTATTTTGAGTACCAATAACTAAGCAAAGAGATGCTCAAGCGAATAATAAATGAAGCCACCGAATGACTCACCATATGCATTGCCAAGTTGCAACGACAGTAGCTTATTATAGCTGATAATCAGTAGTGTTATCAACTCGAAAAGCATAAAAAGAAAACGACGGGCAGATTGAAGCAAAGATTCAGCTTCTCATCATAATTCTTAAAGAATTTTCCCCAGACTAAACAATGCCAGGAAAAGTTCAAAACTATTCTTTCGCCTGACCTAACAAAGAGCATTGCCAAGCAACTAGAAAAAACTAGGTTCAATTCGACATAAAACAAAACACCATGATATTCCAAATAGCAGGGTACTAAGCCATTCATTTCTAACGAAGGAAAGGTCAAAAAACAAGTTCTAGTCAAAGTAAAGGACTCGTTTATTCCAATGATCCATCTGCAAAACGAAATCAGTAAATACATCGAAGGCAGAATTGCTAATCCCGTAATACATGCAACGCGAATCAGCGCAATAGATATTTCTTTCGATCAATAATGCAACTTATTAACTGGGCATCAGTTAATATTTCATTCAGGGTCATTATTGATCCTGGAGTTCTTAAACCTAGAATTCATCAGTGGAAACATTTAAGATACCATACCGTGCTTGATGCTGGAGGATTTTTCTACCACATCCTCAAAAAAAAGAAAAAAAGTGTACCACATCTTCAGCAAGCTTTCTCTCATTCATATCACTTTACAAAACTATATCATGTGTCAATCTGTACAAATCTTGTAATGTGTTAAACTGAAAATAGGGTCATAGGAGAATGATATCCCACGTGACATCAAATTTTGAGTAGTGAATGTTGCAAAGAAACAAAAATCCATTTTCCCTACCATTTCACATCCAAGGTGAGAGCCTCTTGAGGTACCAGGATGGATGGGAACTTCGTGAACGAAACATTTGACATCAAATTACTCCAAGCCTTTGAGTCTGCATCAATAAATGGTCTGATCTTCTTAACAGTTAAGGGCTTCAGAACCTCTCTGTCGAGCCTCCCCACCACCTCAAACCATGCACGTTCAACAGTAGGCTTGGTACGCCACTCAGCCAATGTACTCCAGTAAGGATCGTTGCTTTGAATAACTCTTTCCAATTCCAGCTGGAAGCGGAATACTGATGATGCAGTAATTTTTACTTTTGCAAAACCTACGCTCACATTTTTATTGGTTTTATGTACAAGAAAAGTCTGCAGAACTCTTTCTAGCAAAGCAATCCTCGTGCTAAGAGAACTGATGTGAGAATCTCTGTCCCACATTTGGAACATGCGCCGTTCATAACACTTCTCTGGCAACAGCTCAACAGTTCTGTTAGACAAGAGAACAGTTTTGATGAATGCCTCACGGTTTCCATTCCTGTAAGCTACAACTGTAGCAGAACCTACCACACGTATAGGAGGCCATGCCATGCATAATGAAGGCCAGAAGTATCGAGAGTCAGTTCTCCCTAAACTACTTGAAGCACTTGTTGGGTGAAAGAGAGAGACTTCTTCAGCACCTGTGATTTCCACAGTAATGCCTTCACCGACGAGAATGTCTTTCAGACCAGAAAACGAGTTCTTGAGCTGATCAAGACACCAAGAGATACAAACAGTGAGGATGGGCTTTCAATCGAAACAAAAAATCAAGAAGCAGAAATGTAATGAAATTATAACTGCATATGAATAATGCCTAATATGAAAATTATGTAGTAGTACACCCAGCGTCGGGGACTTGTTTTACTGGACCAGGAATGGCAGCAAGATCTAGACACCCAAACAGTTAACAGGAAAATTTGCCCAACAGTAAAAATTTTGGGTTGAGGTATTCCCAATTTACCTCCAGAGATCAGAATGAAAGTTGAACAGGGCAAGGTAAACAACCACGTTTGGAAGAATGGAAAATGTACTGAGATAGAACGGCTGCCCACATGAATTGTCTTTAGCTTAAAAAACGAGTTGGACAAATGACAATCATGGAAACCAGATTATAAATTGGCTTAACACTACGTTTTAGTACAGTCAATGGCAAGTGTTCAGCGGAATTGGAGCCATGAAACAAAACACACAACTCATACACGGAGCATCATCTATGCACTACGCAGCCAAACATCAATATTTTCTACTTTTACAGCGTTGCCCTCCTAAATTTCGCAAACAAACGCAATTAAACACTAACCAAGGATAGTTAAAACTAAGGCCGAAATTTAATGACAGCAAACAAAATCCAGGATGTTGCTTAGCCACTTAAAAGTACCAACAAAATAATCCTGTTTTGCACGTCAGTTCTCCCACTACTTCAATCTTAAAAACACACACAGAGAGACACGAACTATTTACCGGCAAAAAGAGTTTGAGGTGATGATCTCCGGCGAGACGCAAGTGAAAAGGGCCTTGAATTTTGAGAGTACCGAGCACAGCAGCCTTGGAGGTAATTTTACTAACCAAATCTTCAAAACCCAATTCGTTTTCCAGTTGTTCAAATCTCTTCCACCGGGAAACTTGATCCAACAGCTTGAACACAAATTCGCTTTTACCAAATCGTACCCGAAACTCGTACCGTTGCAAGTCCCCGAGCTTTGCTTTCTTCACATCCAACTTTGAAACGCTAAATTCTTGCAAATCCCACTTCTCCCTCGCTCCAATTTCCGTCAACACATCCTAATTAAATAAAGCACAAAACAGCAATTAAACATATTATATAGAGTAAACTGAATACAGTTTATTGAACTTTTTCTCAGGCAGTAGTACCTTTAAGAAGGGGGAAGAATTGGGTTGGGAGTGGGAGCGGTGATGGTGTTGGCGGTTGTTAACGACGTCGTTAGAGGTGGGAAAAAGAAAATAATGGGAGAGGTTGAAGGATGGTGGTATCGATGGAGAACCAGCTGAGGGAGTTAGTGAAGTTAATAGTAGCAGTAATACTAATACAACTGTCATAAAATGGAGATTTGAGAAGAGAGGTGGATGGGATTGGGATTGGGAATTTATGGACATTATTGTTTTCTTTGATGGATGATGAGCAGGACTGGATGAATCCGTGAGGGGCCTTGGAATGGGGCTTTGAAGGTTCGGTGATGGAAACTGACCGGGAAGGGCTTGAAACGACGGGGCTTTGGTCGGCAAGCTCTCCGGGTGGAGTCTGGAGAGAATATATATTTTGGAGAAATTGCACAGTTTCGCTCAGTTTAATTTACAATTACGTTAGCCTCAAAAATAAAAAATTTACAATTACGTTACTCCACCCCAGTTTATATCAGAAATGCAACGAGTCCGCACCAGATATACATCACACCTACAATTGATCAACTTTTTCCTTCCGGCCGTCTTTTTTTATAGGATATTAACTTGATGATATATCCAATTACTATTATTGGATGCTTGATCTTCAATTCGGGAGTTTATTGCCAAAATAACTCTTTTTCTAGAATATATACTCAAAGTAACTTAATTTTAAAACTTATTACGTTTGTGATCCTTTTTTGCCACTTAATTTTAAAACTTATTACCTTTGTGATCCTTTTTTGCCACTTAGGCTGCATATGTGTCAGGATAGAGATAAAAACGTCCTCTATTTCTCTTTCTCATCTAATATTTTCTTCAATTTTTTCTATAAAGCTTCCCACATTTTTTTCTTTCGTTATCTTTCCCTTGTATAATCTAAGAAGCCAATCTTTATATTAATAGCATCTAAAAAATATGTTTCGCAAGTCAATAATCTTAAGGTAGATGAAGATTATTTTCGTCTTTTCAAAGAGTAGGAAGGATAACATAAACAAATATGATAACCTTAAAATTTTTGTAATTGATTACAATTTTCGTTGCAATTTTTGTATTTTTAAAATTATTTTTTGAAAAAATATATATGCAATAGGTTTGATACATTTAAAAAAATTCGGAGACCAATAATAGTAAGGTCAATAATAGTAAAATTTATTTCAGATAATTATAAGGAAATTATAAAAGTTATGCAATCTTCTTGTGCCTCTATAATAAAAAAAATTTAAACTTTAGTTAATGTTAGAAACTACTATAATCTGGATTAGAACTTCCCTTTCTTGTTATTCTACATGGCAATCAGGATAATTAGATAAAAATAATAATATCATTATGGTAATAAAATTTGAAAGTGAATCACATTGAAAATATTTTTTAGTAAGAGGTATTATTTTGGCAAAAAACTCTTCAATTCGGCCCCGCTAGTTTAAGCGTTCAGCAGCATCATATCAGCCCTTGACCAGTTTCTTTGATTTCAAGGATTAGTCATTTCCATTTTGGTTGGTCATAAAGGAGCAATTCAAGATTGTGGAGTATTTGCTTTGAATGGAAAAAAAAACTTCCAATGCTACTTCACAAAGGAAATCAACTAGATCATAATTCATAGCCTCGTTTGTTTTTCACCTTTTTGCTACAAGTCAAAACTAACGACACTCGAATAAGAGAATAACACTTGGTACCCAAAAAAAAAAAAAACACACTACATTAAAAATTGAAAGCTTACAGATGGGGTCCAATTTTTTTTTTATTTTTTTTGGCGGGGCACAACCTCTTTTTGGTTAACTTTTTTTTTTTTTTTTTTTTTTTTTGCCCTTCCCCTTTAAATGGAACTAAGAACCCAGTCAATAATGTATAGTATAACAGCAATAATGATCATAGGATGGATGAGATTATCCATCCACACAACAGTTTCGTATGTTCAAAGCCATAACACCAGGGAGATTAAGTATTCACAGCAACCGGAAAACACCCCAAAGGATGAATGAATGATTGGTAAAAGAAGATCAAAGGAAGAAACAAGTCTTGGGACCCTGTCTCTGAATCGAAGTGCTGGAGTCATAAAACTGTAACAGCAATCTTCCTACTGTGGGAGTCTGTACAGCAAGTCTTTCCGGATAAACCAGTCAAGAAAATGCAACAGCAGTCGTAGTCAGAGACGAGTCACATAGAGTGTCAGAAACTTTGGACGGAGGCCAATATCGAAACACTGATCTACCAACAATGTTTTGAATTGGAAGGGGGCCCCTGCAAATGATGAAATGAGAAGATAGAAGTCAGGAAATAAATCGCAAGCCAATTTTTCAGGAAAAATGGAATATTCAAGATGAAAAGGCTAAATTCAAATTAACCTATGTATAAACATAGTTACCAACACAGGGAAAGATAAATTAACACATTCATCAATAAGAGTGAAAAAATAATCAATCAAAAATGCCCCTATGCTTCTTCCTTTACCTGCGATGATGATGATTGTAGTGCAAACTAAGTATGTGTTGTTCTAAACGAGGATTCTAGTAGAAATCTACTCAAAAATGAAACACAACCAATTCCAGATACTAGGAGATGTCCTTCTCCATGTATAAAAAAGCTGCAGATCAATCATTACCAGTTGTGCGAGTCGAAACTGTTGTTGCGGTTATCCCCCATGACAAAGACATACCCCTCAGGGACAAGCTACAGAAAACACAGGGCAGCGCATTTACAAATCAATGGAAAATGGGTTTGAAATTCAAAACAAGAAATTATATTCATATCATGAAAAAACAATCCAAGGGACAGGTTGACATACCACCGGATCCATCTCATATGCCACTGGTTCTAAGATGAAATCCTCATCTTGAGCTACCCCATTTACCAGCAATTTGCCATCACGAACCTAATGTTAAGAGAACATTGTAAATTAAAAACCATAACCTCAATGCCATTAAAGAAAAAACGTCGCTAGATTATATGGAAAAGAATCACATACCTCCACATAGTCTCCAGCCTTAGCGACAACTCTCTTAATGAAGACATCACCAGAACTATAACCAATTTCCTGAATAAGAGCGCAACTTTAGTCCTTGAGTCATCAAAAATCAGACACTGAGAGTTAAGACAAGAAAGAAGCCAAACGGTGCATCACATACTTGAAGAATTGGAGGTGCTTTAAAAATCACAATATCTGAAACTTCAGGCTTCCTAAAAACATACGAAACCTGCAAAACAATATGGTGGAAGACAGAGTATCAGCACTCAAGACACATTTAAGAAGACAAAGCTTTAAGAAATATGCTCTTCAACTAAACAACAATTGATTCAATTTATCATGACAACCAAAGTACATAATTAAAGAAGCGACCAGCTGGAGAAAGAAGAAGATATGCATACATATATACACACACTACACAATTATTATCCCAGATGATTTCAAGAAGATTGCCTATACTATTGTCAAAGGAAAGAAATGAGAATTGAATAAACTAGACTCAAAAAGGAAGCAACTGAGTCACAACAGAGCCGACAAACCAAATTTAACAAATCGCAACACAAGTAATCTCACATCAATGACAGCAAATTGATTTTGATTTCTCAGCACAAGGATCTTGATCAGCAATACAGCATATTCCTTTCTACATCGTTGTCTGACAATGCAAAAAAATTGTCGTCTGAACATGTAATATTTTAGAGGTTTGAAGAATCAAAAGTATGACAATAGCAAAAACGGAAAGTCTGCCCACTCATTGCACCCATAAGAATTCCTCCATTCCCTCGAAACTTTTGTCTGTGATCCTAACTAAAATTAGGCTTCCTAATAACAAATAAAGTTAAACAATTAAACAACTCTTTATTTACCAAAAAAATGTTAGCATAAGTGAGAAATAAGAAACAATATATGAAACTTCCAAACAATATATGAAACTTCCATGTCATCTCTTCATTTGCTTGACAACACAAAAACCATCAGTTCAACAGAACAAGTTAATAAACTGGTACGAAATGCTTAGATGTCCAAAAATTGCATTACATGATCCAGTGGACTTCAATTCAGACATAAATAAAGCAACCCAACATATTAAAAAAATATATCCCCTAAAAACTGAATTAGGGAAATAAGTAGCAAAAGTCATCAAAAATATACCTTCTCAGCAAGAATGCGGTCGCCTACGTCAAGAGTGGGGTACATAGAAGTCGAGGGAATTGATCTTGGCTCAGCTAAAGATGATCTGAACAGAATGCTAACGCTCAAAGCAGTAAAAGCAGCCTTAGCATCATCGGAACAGACATTTAACAATTTCGACAACCAACTGCTTCTAGAAAGCTTTAAATCCTCGGACATAGCCTCTGATGAAGCAGCCGCCACAGCAGCAACAGTACTCTTCTCCACAACAGGCCCTTGCTTCTTGGTGTTACTAGACTTGTCCGCCGTAGCAGCAGTTCCCCCTTTATCTACCAGACTCCCCGCCTTCCCAATACTGGGCTGGCTACAGGGCAACCACTTAGACGCCTGTAAGAAGGGGATGATGGACGCCGGCTTAACCGGCGAAATCCCAAAAACACCCGTAGAAGAAGAAACGGTCGACGATGAGGAAGACGAAGAGGAGGTTGGATTCATGAGCGAAATTAAGGCGACTACCAAAGGGCTTTGAGATTTTCCTCCGAAGATTTCAGCAGCGAGAGTTGAATACATTGAATAGGCGGAGGAGGAGCAGGCGGTGGTCTTGGGCTTGGGCGGCCGTGGCCGGAAATCGGAGGGGTAATTGCGTTCGGTTTTGAAGAGGGACCGGGACGCGGCGCATTCATGTAAGAAGCGGCAGTTAGCGGTAGAGGCCTTGGAGGTGGCACAGGCGGCCAGATTTTGGGCCAAGTAGCCGGAGTAGGTGACGGTGAAGCGGATCGCCATAAGTACGAATTGCAATAAACGGAATAATATGTGGAAAATAGTGGGGTCGGAGAGTGACGGAGGGGGTATCAAAAGGCCTAGAACAAACCAAGAAATGCCATCGAAATGGAAGCGATCAGAGATTGATCGGAACCAGAAAGATTGAATTGAAAAGTTTGACTACAGAAGGACGGCTTAGTACAGAAATCGGTGAAAATTTTGGGGGTGGTCGGGGGGGTTCAAAATCGGAGCTGCTGAGCTATGACCTCCGGTAGAGAGGGAGCTCAGGTAACGGAAGAGGGGGAGGAAGTCGAATTCAACGACTTTTGGTTATGGGGACGCCAAGAAAACAAAATGGGAACGGGGAAAGAAGGGAGGTTTTAAGGGGATTAAAGAATTGGCTGCAAGTAGTAGGACGGAGTGTGCAAAGGCCCTTACAGTTGGTTCTAATTACGGAAACGCCTTTTTGACTAAGTGCCTGTTTGATAACATAAAAAAGTGCTGGAACTGAATTCATTCAGACATTCAGATGTTGTGAGTGTTTGATAAATAAAAATTCACCTGCTGAACTTATTAACTAGTGCTGAATTTGTATGTATTTTTTTCAGCACAAGAATCGTAGCTGAATGCTTAATTTGATAAGAATCAAGCGATTTATTTCAACTATTTTATCTTATCTACCAAATATATCCATGTTTGTCAATTACATTCAAAATCCTTATCTGATTAACAACCTAATGAGTTTGTTTGGATAAAGTTTATTTGGATGATTTATTTGAGATATTTACTGTAGTATTTTTTGTGATGTGATGTGTGTGAGATAAAAAGGTGATTGGGAAGATAAAAAGGTGATTGAGATTTGTGAGGCAAAATTTTTTTTTCCAAATTCTCTCTATCCAAACAAACTCAATATTTTCTATTCAAAATCCTTATCTAATTAAACAAAACAACCTAATATTCTCTATTCAAAAAAATTTTTTAACAATAGTATTTTTTTTGAAGTAATTTTCATCCACAAATATTTATATTTTGATATTTTTTTTTTTGCAGATAAATATTATTTATGAGATGTAGCTTATCCACACACACGTGACTTTATGACACCATATCGAAATATTAGATATTGGTTGTCTGATTTTTGGAATGCTTCTCGTCCAAGATCGAAAGAAGAACGCTTTAACCAAGCACATGCAAGATTGAGAAATGTAATTGAACGTGCTTTTGGAGTATTAAAAGCTCGTTTTCCCATTCTCAAAACAATGAAACCATACCCTTTTCCCACACAAAGAAACATTGTCATTGTATGCATTGCTCTTCACAATCATTGTCATTTTCATACCTAACAATTTTAAGTTAATTAAATCATAGTTTCTATTTCCTTTTTGGATTAAAAGATAGAAGGACAAAATTATACAATTTAGCTTATTAAGCATTAAGTTATGAATATTTATCAAACAGTATAAATAGATTCAGCATTAAGATTCAGACATTCATATATCTCTTTTTAGTGCTTAAAATTCAGCAAATTAATTATTTCAGTATTCAGAATTCAGATTTCAGAATTCAGATTTTAGATTCAGTGTTATCAAACGGAGCCATTCACTTATCTGCCGCGCATATATTTTTGCTTTTCTGTTTCTTTTTTTTTCATTTTTCTTTTTCTATCAGCGTGCATAACTGCATATGCAATGATTTTGCATTCTTCCCTTTTTATGGTTTATTTATTTTCTACTAAAGACTAATAAATTTAAAGGTTTTAAGTACAAGTCCCAAACTTAAGGAACGCAAACACCATAATTATGTAAAATCTCCTTTTTTATTTATATTAACAGAGTATAAACTCCCAAGAGTAGACTAATTTGTATTTCTTTTTAAAGAAAACTTCTTCAATTATTCTGTAAAGACCAAAATACTTGAATGATTGAGAGGATTCAATTTCTTTAGCATGGTAACGTACATAATTCTGGATGCTATTTCGAAAGAATTAGAGTGCATTGCTGCCAGGCACCCTAAACTTCTACACCAAATTATACGAAGTTTTTGCAGTGTGGGATTGGCTAGGGCTTATTTGGATTGTGAATTTTTAAAAATTTTGTAGAAAAATATATTGTATTCACATATATATGTGTGTGTGTGCGCGTCCGCGTAAGGTAAAAATTTTGAAAATATGAAATTTCATAAAAAATAGCAATCCAAATATGCTCTTAATTTTTTATTATTACTAATTAGTACAAATTTAACATGGCAACAAGTTGTTTAATCAAGTCTCATAGTTGTGAGTTTAGTTTAACTATCTTTATCATCTATGATTATATTTTTGCAACTTATAATATAAAAAATTCATCATGCAAATTGTGACTATGTGATAATTTTATTTAAAAAGTGAAGAAGGAAAAAAGAGTGGAAGAGTAATACACTATTATATAGAACATATCATATTTCTTTTTTTAATCAAATATAAGTTTACATACATTGAAATTTATCAAATTGCTTTCTGTGTGTACTAAAGAATTGCAAAGACTTTAAATTCTCGCATAATACATGGAAATTTACTATGAGATAATTCATTATTCGATTTCAATTCATCCTTTGGTAATTTGGGAGAAAATATGTTTTCTATTTAAAGCGAGAAGTGGCAAGGGCCATGCTTCACTACCAAACACCCAAAAAACAAAGAAAATAAAGGAAAATAGATACAGATAATCAGGAAATTCGTTGTCAAGAAAAGAAAAAGAAAAAAAAAAAACTCTGCTTTGCCTAAATAAATGCTCTACATTAAATGCTCCGGTTGTGAGTAGCAGTGCTTGGCACTCGCTGGTCAGTATACAGTCTCCATTGACTAAAATTGTAAGTATGAACAAAATAGAGGGTATCTGTGTCTTTTAAGTCCTTTTATGTTTTAAATTTTTTTTACTTTGACCAGTCGAAGCAAACAGGAACCCCTTATTATTATTTTGTTGTTTTCCTTAATTTCTTTACGCCAATTCGGTTGGGGTTGCTTCCTGGCAAGTGGCAACTTTCCACCTTTTTACCCCTTGGGTGCCCAAACTTTTGGAAATTTCAGATATCCAAATGGCTGGCCGCCGTTGCTGAGCAGGTAAAGAGTAAAGTTACTGTAGGCTGCTGCCGTTACATGTGGCTTGTCGCCTTCTTTTCTTCTTTTTCTCTATTGTTGTTGCGCAGGTTCAATGGCTCCACCCAAATTTAAGCTCACCCTAGCGTGTGGATGTGCTTTTCGAATTTTAGTTAGGATGTAAAATTTTAAACTTTGGTCAGCGACATAGGTTCGAACTCTGAATCTACAAGAATTTAAGTTCAATCTAACGTGTTGATTTGCTATTGTTTATGCATTGGTCTTAGTTTTTGAACTTTGGTTAATATGCAAAACTTTGAACTTTGGTCAGTGGCACAGATTTGAACTCTGCTGCGCCTTCAAGAATTTAGTTAATGTTAATTGTTGAAGTTTCTTTACAAAAATGTTCATTTAAATAAAAAAGAAAGAAAGAAATGAATAGAAAACACACGCACAGTCCTAGGATAACATATTACTAGTTTAGTTCTTACAATTATATGCTGTGTAGAAATTTTTTCTTTCTTTCTTTCTTTCTTACCTAGTAAACAAAAGAAAATGTTTATATAATAACCTATACTTGGAAAATGTTTTGTCGAGGCATAACTAGCAGTGGCTGCAGTAACAATTCCCGTCACCGCACTCTTCCTTTATTTTTTATCTTTGGAAAATTTATCAAATTGGTCCCTAACATTTGTGAACAAAATTTTTTAGTCCTTAACATTTAAAATCAGCCAAAATCGTCCATAACATTTAAATTAATGCTCGTATTTGCTCATTTTTTTCGACTAAAAATAGCACGTTTCTCTCACGTGGATATATTTTCAAGGATAAAATTAGAAAACATACTTCATTTCACTTTGAAAACAAAAGTGCCCGGATTATAGGCGTGCTATTTTCAATCGGAGAAATGAGCAAATACGAGTATTATGATCAAAATGAATCATAATTTAAATATTATGGACAATTCTAATTGATTTTAAATGTTAGAGACTAAAAAATATTTTTTTGACAAATGTTAGGAACCAATTTTACAAATTTTCCTTTATCTTTTGACGAGGTCCTAAGTCAACGTCACATGTGCACACCGTTGAAGAAGTCCATTAAGCTGCTAACACCCATCACTAAAGTTAAAATCTCGATTTGTTTGGTCAAGATAGATCCGAGAGGAACAGTACCTTTATACATGTATTTGGAAGATAATAAAAGCTTAATCATTAAGCACATTCTATTGGATGAATGACGTTCATGTCTATAATCACACCTATCACAAAAGCTTTTTAATGAATCATTATATATATATATATTTTTTTATATAGATGAAAGAGTTTGAATCGAAAATTTCATTCTCTTTTTTAAACGGCTGAGCTTGGTTGTCAAAACTGATAACGCGAATCCTGGCCCTTTCTTTTCTTTTCTTTTCCGGGTGACGAAGGCGCATACATCAGTGGTGTGGCGAGTAATTGGATGGACCCTCCATGATTTAGTGAGTGAAAGGTCGCTGGTTTGACTGGCAACTAAGAAACGTCCGTCTGATTTTTCCCTTTTATTTAGTATTAGTTTTATAAAACATCACCGTCACTGAAGTCAGCAATTTCAGATGCCTAGTTAAACATTCTTCTTACAGAAAAATAGTTTTCCCTTCTGTTGATCAATAAGCTAGAGAACTGTCCCTGGGTGTTGGTTTGTGGGGCAGTTACCCTGAGTTTAAGATCCTGAGCCGCACTTTCTGTTATTAATTGGCTGGATGGTGTTGGTCTGTGGACTCTACTTTAGATTGTGCTTTGCATCAGGATTTCGATTACCTCTGAGCGTTAATCTAACTTTGTTGTGTGATTCCCAATAATTTCGATTGTTGAAAAAAAAATAAGCTAGAGAACTGCCCCTTAATTGAGTGCACTAGTCCCACGGGTCGGCTCAACTGGTGCTGGGGTTGTGTCATTAGGTTTCGGCACCATGTGGTCAAGGTTCAATTCCTTCTACCGTCTTATGTATCTTGAGGGGCGGTGCACAAGCGCAAGAAGATTAGTCCAAAAGAATACTTCCTATGTTGACAAAAAAAAAATTTTTTTTTGAGTGCCCTAAAACTTTCTTACATCAGTAGCCAGATCATTTTTATGGCCTACGCTTCCAATTTATTTGACACGTTATCAGTTATTGATTGAATATGACTGGGGAATTCGTTCACGAATTTAGGTACAGGTCATGAATTTACATTAATCTTAACTTTTCTATTTTATTTTTTCTTTCCGCCCGGTATTTTTTGGTGGGCCAGTGGGAG